AACTCTACAAGTCCATAGGTTTAGGGTTCAGGGTTTAGGGTTTAGGGTTTAGGGTTTAGGCATAGACTCTCCTGCTTCAAAAAAAGTGGCTTGAAGGAACGGGATCTGTGTTCCTGATGCCTTCTGATCACGTCTACCGGGTCACGCAGTGTAGATGATAGTAACTTGCTTACATGCAAAAGCACCTCCTGATTCCGAACCAAAATGCGAGTCTTGCAAAAGCTGCCAGGATTGGACTTCAGACTTCTGCCCCGCCTGATCAATCACAGGTGACGCCAGGCCTGTGTCCGAAGCCTCGGGAAGCGTCGAACAGGCGGCTTTGCTGCAGTGGATATGAAAGATTGAGCTTGGGCCAACCATTCAGCTGCTCCAGCAAAAGATGCACGGATTGAAGCTGTTCATACCACGCAAAAAGACCACATTGGTCTGGAGACTTACCCGTCCACGAGGTCGTCTACCCGCAGTCTACCTTTCCCTCGAGCAGCTCAGGCCCATGACTGCTGAATGCATCATGGTCGGCGAGTATCCTGTTAAGAGCAGCGAAATGTTCCCCCCCCCCCCCCCAACAGTTTTTGTAGTTCAAAGAGCCAATGCTGAGCTGGCAAACAATCATTCAAAATATGCTTGGAGGCTGTGAATCCGCTTCCGCTCTAGATGGGAAACCTGCCGCCAAATCAGAGGCAGCTCCGGTGCTCCTTTCCTAATTCCTGATGATGGAGCGAAGAAACCCTGCAAGAAACATGAAGCAGCTTCAGCCTATAGAGTGAGTATCTATCGCATATTTGAGCCCGCCATCGATCCTCGCAACCGCTCAGTGTCCACAGATTCTGACCATCTGACCCTGACTGCCAGTAGCAGGAGCACCCCGCGGGCCTGGCGTAGCACCGCCGTCTTTTCCAGGCCTCAGTCCACTTCTCAACTGCTGTGGCGCTCACAACTGCTGCCCCTGTAGCCTGTACGCCGAAGTTCCCCAAGCTAACTTCAAAGAGCCTTGGACTTCCGGTGCTCACATGATGTGACATTTCTGAGATGCTCCTTCATCATTTGTTTGTGGCGCGGGGGGTGGGGGGCCAGGGAGGAAGGAATGATGGTGACGATTCTCCTGAAAGTACTGAACGAGAACAGTCCGAGGGCCGAAACTGATCCCATATTGATTCCATGCTGCGCTTGCGGGTTTCTGAAATTCAGAGTCTGGGGGCTTTGCACACAACGGTGCTGAAGTCCAGTACGGCTATGGATGAAAAAACGGGACTTTGTTGCGGCTGGTGCACACCCTTTGTAAGACCCATTTGCGGTGACTTGAGAAAGCTTTATAAGGCTCTGGCCCAACAAATCATCAGTGTCCCGGCGGGGCTTCAGTCTCAAAACGCCGAGGACTTATCAACAACACGCGTCCCGGAAAAGAAAGCTAAACGGTTGCAATCCTCTTGACATCCTTCTGAAAGTCGCAACATCTTCTTATGAATCTGATTCACAGATATATATATATATATACACATACATATATATATATATATCGATCCCTGTGTGGAGTTCAGCTTGGAGCATTCCTCGGCTTCCCAACAACGGTGAGGTCGAGGTGTATACTGCCGATGTTGGGGTGACAGCGTACCTCAGCGTACAGGGCGAGATCACAAATGCTTTAGCAGCAAACTCTACTACAGAAAGGTTTCCCTAAGTTCTCCTGAGGTTCAAGATGCACATGGCGAGGCGAGACATGGAAGTGTGACATGGAAGCAAAGAAGAACAGAATAAATAATGTTAAGGAACAGACGATAAGCAAATCATCGCTTTCTTGGTATTCTGTTTGGTTCAACCTTTTCTTGGTTCACCGTGATCTGAAAATCAGCCCACGAGCCAACGCAACCTCCCGAAATGTGCAGGTCAGTGCCTCAGATTACTGGCTTGCTGATCTACGTGATCAAACCGACCCCACCTTGGTCAACGCAGCCGCCGTACCATGGAAGAACTCCTACAAATACACTGCCCTCCGCGTGTCGCACGGGCTGCGCGCTGGCGTGTAGATCGCGCCTAAGCCAATCAACATATGTTTCAACTGTCTGAAGCTTGCAGCTTACATACCTAAGTGCCTCTTCGACATTGAGGCCCCGAAAGGATCTGATCAGCGCATCTGGGCTAGTAGCCATGCACGTAATTTCCTTCCCACACTGCTTGTTCTCGAGACATCTTGTTGGTACGTCTGCTACGTCTTGCTCTGGACATGCAAACTGCGACCACTGCAGTCAAGTCCAGAAAGCTATCACGAGTCTACAACCTGCTTTCGCCAGAACTGTGCAGGAGGCGGTGCAGGAAGCGGCGCTCCAATCTCGAGAACTCCCTGCTTAAGACTAAGGCTGGCGCCATCTCGCCCAGGCTTGGTCGTCGTACTGGCAGGCGCTGTGACTTTCAGGTCTACAGGAGGCTAGGCTCGAAAGAGTCGGGTCAGGCATTGGATGAGGTGCGACTTTTCTTCCCTTTGTCTCTCCTCTCTCTTCTTCTTTTGTTCTTTGCTCGTCGGGGCTTGGAGGACGAACCTCCGCGCACTTGGCGCGCCCGAGGCTATGTCACTGCGGGGTCGCTGTCTCAGAGCGATCTCCCTTGGACCTGGGTCGTGCGGGGAACCTTCTTCGTTTGCCCCGACCATCCGAGTCTTCTTCTTCTTCTACACAGAGGAGAGGCACCTCCTGCCGAGTCTCTTCTTCTTCTGCTACTCAGCGAAGACCCCCGGCCCACCTCTTCTTCTTCTTCTTCGGGGCTTGAAGGGCCGTCAAGCACCCTCCGCGCACAAGGCGAGTCCAATCCGTGGTCCAGTCGGTGTGAGACATGTAAGCTCCCCCCCAGGAAGATAGTTCCCCCATGCTTTCCCTGGAGGGTTCACGAAAACGGTTTCCCCAGCTACAAAGGCGGAGGCCCACCTCTCTGTCTCTCTGTCGCTCTCGTCACATTGCAACTGCAGAGTGCTGCGGCCAGGCATGTTCCAGGTGATCATGAAAGACTCGCAAATCTGGATTCTAAATTCTAAAGCATTAATCCAACAAGCTACTCTTCCAGGACTGCTGTTGTGGCGCCACCCCATTCCCGAACAAAGAACACGAAAGCAGACACAAAGGCCTCATGGGCGAGGTCGGCGTGTACGCCGCCGATCGCGGCGCATACCTCTGCATCAGGGCTACAACTGGGCTACCATTGGGTCCCTGAGATGGCCCACTGAAGCTAGCACGAGGCCCCGGCTTGCTACTCACTGGCGTGTATCCAGGGCCTCGGGAGGTCAAGCAGCTCAGATGGTTTCAGTGGATTGAAACGCGCACACCCCGCATACCTACCACACATCTGTGCTGGAGTTGTCGAGCCATTTCGAAGCCTCTTACGACTCCGCTGGCTGCTCCAGTTGAATCTCGGGGTTGAGAAGTCTGCTACGGTTTTCCATACATGCTTGAGTTGGCAGTGGAACCCCTGCAGTCGTGTCTTGCCACAGTAATTCAGAGCCCACGAGATTTTAAGGGCGCTGCTATACGGCGAGAGAGCCGCCCGTGTCTGGGTCTTGTCCACTGAGTAGATGGCCGACGGGCTGCAGCCGAGTGGATAAAGGCGCACAGCAGCGGCTCAGAGTTTAGGGTTGGGGGTGTGGGAATACGTGCCTCGGGCTAGTTCGGGATACAGTTAGTCGTCGAACTCGAGCTTCGGTTTGATGACCGGGGGAGTCGAAACCGCTGGCAGGCAAACATCCCAATCCTTGTCGAGTGGCATCACTTCGCAGTCTAGTGCATCCTGACTACCCGGCCTCGGACAAGTCCTGCTTAAACATGCAAACTTGGAAGTACGTAGGTGAACGCACATGGGCCCTGTCACTGAAAGCCTCGGAGAGTAGGTCGGACTTGGGATCGCGTACTCGTCCTTCTTCTTGTCTTCCTTCTTTTCCGCCTGCCACGGCTCACTGATTGGTATGGTGAACCTCCCAGAGAACACCTCAACTTGCCCGCCGTTGCTCCCAGATCTTCGAAAGCCACAAGGTTCCTTCAACCCTGAAGATGCCGGGATCCAGCATAAACTTCGGCTTTTGACCTTGAGGCTCTGGCAGGGGAGTACTCGGCGCTGGCTGGAGAGTAGGCGCAGGCGGACCAAGGGCTGGTCAGGGAGAAGTCGCTGCGAGCAGGCGTGTACCTAATGCAGAGTCCAGGCTCATTTTGCTAACATCTTACATTGTTAACCGAAATATGTCTGAGGTTTGAAAGTACAACGGCAATGCCCGCTGCAGAAGTCCCGGTGTGCAGACGTGCACATGCTCTCCAAGTCCTTTTTCGTAGCGAAGCATGTCTGGAATGCTTCATAAGAGGAACAACCAAAGCGACAACAGCCAAACACCGTCAGCCAACGTGGAGATAGGCAAACCTGAATATCTAGAAACGTCCTTCCTTGTTGAGCCTCCCATGACTGCTGAGTGTGCCAGAGCCCACACTGTCTCGCCTACGCCACGGCAATGGGTTCACGACATGGGACTCCTTGCAAGGCAGGATTAAACCTCTCTTTGCTGTCTTCCTGCAGTGAGTCCCGTCGGGCTCGGCAACACTCCGCAGAACCCAACGCCCTGCAGCCTCGCTTAAGACAAGCTTCTGAGATAATGTGCAAAAACCACATGCATGGTCATGGTGCAGCAGTATCTATAGAATGTAGACCAGACCGCAAGGGTAGATACTTTGCGGAAAAGGTAGTTTATTTAACTGCTTAAGGCATGATCCAAGTTGTGCACGTCTCCTGATCCGTGGCACAGATCTGAGGCCAATGGATGGTCAGGCTGTGGGTTCCGCCGTTTGGGCAGCACGGTTAAAAAGCCGAGGGCAGCGAATCGATTTGCGGAGGGATGCTGACGAGATGGTCAAGATACACTGAACTTCACAGAAAGGCTGCTCAAATTGAACCCCGCACCCCTGAACTCTGAGCCTCAAAATCTACAGGGACTCTATGGCATTCATATGGCGCTGCTCCGACCCATCAGGCGCTGCTCAGTTGTTGTAGTACACCTGGCGCAGTCCACCCGGCTCCTCAACCCTGAGCCCGGCGATTCCCCCCCTTCCCTCATAGTCAGATGGCGAGGCGGGGTAGAGGGGAGGAGAGTCAAGGGCTTGCCGGGGAAGAATCTGAGACCAGCGGCTTCAAGCAGAAACTCACTTAAATAAGAAGTCCGAAGATTCCATCGCAGCCTTGGCAGGCAGCTGGCCCAAAAAGCGATCACGGCTGAACTCGGCGTTCCGGCCTCCCGTGCTGAATTGAAAACATATCAGTTGCTTTGGGGGTTTCGGGGGGGTTCAGTGTCGCAGCTTCTCCCTTCCATACTCTAAACCCTGAACCTCCCCGGCGCCCGTTCATGCATTGCTCTGCAGCCCTTCAGTTCCCTGCCTGTGACGATGTCGCCAATCACACGTCCTTAGACAGATACAAGACAAATACTAACCAAGCAGTGCTAATCGAGATGGCATCCAGCTATTCAAAAGATTCGAAAGCTAGCAGGCTTTGGCCAAAACCTGCATCCTCGTTGCCAGCTTGAGTGCTTCAACCGCCATTCCCCCATTGAACACCCGGATGCACAACCCACCGAAACCTCAGAGAAGCATGCCAGAGCATACTACTGGTAATTTCTTAAGCCTGACGCACCAGCAGAAGCAGGTCGAAGGCTTGCAGCTACGCTTTGGGCAATTCTGGCAACGGCAGCATTCTTGCTCACAACTTGGGAACTCAGTCAGAGCGGGACTTCCTAATAAGCTAAAGACAACCTATTTTCGGACACAACGGGGGCTTTCTCTCCCGAAACATAGATTTTGATGCAGAACCTTTTTTCTGCTGCAGACTGTTGGCTTTCACGGGTCAGTGACAAGTTGCACATCGACTTTTGTGATTCTTGGATAGCACCTGCTTCTATTGGCGGTAGACGATTTCGGCACCAAGTTGTCCCTGGAACAATGCATTGCTCGTTTGCTGCCCGAGGCAAGGGCCAACGAAGGTTCCACCTCAGCTGTAAAGGACACGGACATGTCTCACAGAACCCCGGAATGAGAAGAGGCACAGGGACGCAGAGCAAGGCAGTGAGACAGACTGAGAGACTCGAGACAAAGAGAAGAGAGACACCACAAAGAAAAACGAAAGAAGTAAGCGAGAGCGAGAAAGGGAGAGAGAGAGAGACAGACTGAGTCTAATAAACCTGCATGTGTAAGTAGCTATGGTCCCAAGACCTCTATCATCTTACGCCAGCACAGGTATTGCACATGACATTTGCTAGAACGAGCACAAACCGTAAGTAACACTGCTTCTTGACTGAATACATACAACATGTTTGCCTATGTCATACCACTCAATAGACTAGACGGCTTGTTGACTTGCAGGCACTCCAGGCTGTGGCTTCCAGCGCTTGGGTTTGGAAGAGACACAGGTTTGGAGAATAGCTTGTCTTCTGCGATGCTACTTGAACACTTTCCAAAAATCGATAGTATGGCTTAGAATGGCAAAACTGTATGGCGAAACTTGGAGATGTGGAAAGATGCAGTTGCTCTTCTTCTATGTGTACATATATGTGAAAAGAATATATATATATATATATGTATACACACATACATATATACATGATATCGATCTGCTCTTGCCATGGCCGGCTTCTCTCTCTTTGTTCGGTTTGTTTGATGCTACCCGCACACCCCACCCCCCCATCCCACCCAATCGCGCCCCACTCCACCGGAGACGTAGCTGATCGCAGTTACCAAGCTTGATGCTGTTTCCTGCCCTTGCCTTGCCCATTCTTCCAATGGAAATGTGGAAATGCCATCTGTGTAGTGCGATGCCACGTCTGGAATTATGTTGCAAGACCTGCCAGCCCCCGCACTTTGTACAAAGACCCCGGAGGTTACATTGTTTCAAGCTTGCCATCCTTAACTAACAGTCTACACGCCTTCGAGGTGGGCTGTGCAGAGGCTATACCCTTATAAACCTTTGAAGACACATGTCTATCCGAATATCCCAAGCGAAACTTACATCCCATCGACCATATAAAGGTTTTTCTAAGAGCCTATCGTGTTGGATGCAATGATAACCAGCTACTTCCACGGCATTCTCCAAGACAACCAATATAGTTGCGCATGGTGTTGGACCAGGTGTGCTATGGCTCCGCTGACATGGGTCTGGGCTTCTTTATCAAAATTCAGTACGAGATGGTACGAGATTCCCAGCTGCTAAAGTGCATTTCCCCTTTAAGCCGTACGTTACTCCCTATACTTCTGCATGGCAAATTGTGCGAGTTGGATTTGGGTGTGGGCCCGGGCTTGTTGGCTGCATCTTGACTGTTCTTACATTTGCTGCGATCGCCAGCCTCAAGTCAGATCATACACTACTTTCTGTTGAAGAACATCTTCTATCCGGGACATGCTGGCTCAACACCTCAATCGGCCGATGTAGATTCTGCACCTGAATCGGCCCATGGATTGAGATGCCCTGAGAAAGTATCCCGGAACACCTTCTATCCAGGCTCAGCCGATTTAAAATTTGCATTGGCCGGTTCAGCTTGTGAATCAAGATCTGAATCGGCCCCTGAAGTTTAAAGATTCCGTAGGGCATCTTCTTAGTATCCAGGGCCCTGCAGATTTTGAATCTGAATCGCAAATCAGATGGAGAGTTGGCCCCTAACGTGACTCTGAATCCGTCGGGCCCAGATCTCCGATTCATGTGCCCCGCCCGTTCACACGTGCGAAAAACGATGTGTCTTGACAAACAAACAGGGAGGGTCTCCCAACTGCGGCAGGAGGACGGACATAGACGTGTTGCTGACCGACCGCACAGGACAGCTGGGGAGGGGCGAGGGAAGGGATACCATTTTTGTGAAAACATACATACGTACGTGTATATACATAAATGACATATGTATACATGTACGAGGAAGTGGGAGGAGAAGGAAGCAGCACAGTGAGACCGAAGGAGGGCGAGGGCAAGCTGACTGCATCTTTACAGAAGGCCGAACGAAGCCGAGCTGGGGGGAATATCGGTGGCTTGCGAGAAGCCCCTCAACAAGCCGACTCAAGTCTCGGGCCATAGAAGATGAAGGGCAGCGCAACGAGGCGCGATTGGTAGTTGTACCTGCAATGTTTCCGGGACTAGCGTTGTGGGTTCAACAATGTGACTACCTTACATTATGCCTTACAGTCACCGGTGCCGGTGACGGCACTTGGCACATGATTCAGACCCTGGACCCCCCCGATAATGGCTTCCCAAACTCCGCACCCAGGATCATGCTCTATGCTTCCTGCAATCCTGCAACTTGGATACGCTCTGTACACGCTGGTTTAAGCAATCCTCAGGGCTTAGGGATGTGCAAGGTAGTGGCCACTCGCCTGCGGAAGGACCACCACGTCAGCCCAGCCATGCCAAGCCTCACAAAGTGTGGGATGACATGGGATGACTCAGTGTGAGACTCTAGGTGGGTGAGGCTGGAATGGGCGCCCAGCGCGGTGTCCCACATGAAGTTCGTGGCCACCACCTGCGAAGCTGAAAGAGCTGGATCATTACCCCTGGCATCCTTGTCACATTTTGTAAAGACTGCAGTCCACCCTTTCCCGCAGAGTGCCCCTATGATACCAATTCCCCCCCCCCCCCCCTAGCTTGCATTACTCAGCACATTCCCAGCTCCACAAGCTTGGGTCGTGCGGCATTTGTGGCATGAGCACAAGAGGCCTCCTTCCGAACGGACTCCTGACAGATCCAGCGCCAACCACTCCAAATGCTCAGGAACTTGCTCTTCCGGATTTGACGCAAGTCCAGCAACACGTGTGCAAGATCAGTCCTGTCGACGGATGCAGATCTGGTTAGCTTCGGAGACGTCCTGGCCCGAAGACGGTCATCGGCTAGGGAACTTTGCGTCCCAGTCACACAGATCTGAAGTCTGTGGCAGGACTGCGGACTGCGGGTCAGCGATTCGATTCTGATAGGAACAAAAATGCAAATTGTGTGACATACTTTGTCCATACACACACACACACACACACACACACCCGCGCGCGCGCGCGCGCGCGCGCGCGCGCATGCATGCATGCATGCCAGGCGACTGTATTCTCCCACCGCCACTGTGCAAGCAGGTGCTGAGGTAATTCTTTGCGGCATGGGCCCTACACCAGTAGTAACAGTACGCGCTCCAGAACTCCGAAGCGTGCAGCGTGCAGACATCGCCTGAGTCTGATATACTCCAGCAAACACTTCATGGGTTGCGACACTTCGCGCTCAGCGGGAGAAGCGTTGATGAACCAGAAAATGGCCGGGACCACATCTGGATCGAACTTGCGGGAGAGGATCTTGCGCTTGTCGCCCTTGTCCAGCCTTGTCAGCTGAGTGGCGAGCGGGCCTCTAAGAAGGCTCGAGCCGCCCTGCCAACTGAGCTGAGTAGTATTAGTTGCATCAAGCAGACATCGCACAGCAATGTACTGTGCTCAGCTTCCCGCTTGCTGTAGTGCAAATGGATCATGGGGGCCTCGGCACGAGTCGACATGGAATCGTCTAATCGTCTGCGCAGGTTTAGACTCGAGGCCCCCGACCATTCCGAGCAGACCGGTGCTCTCCCAGGGCATCAATTTGCGCCTCGGCCCAGAGGGAGAACAAATAGATGATGGCATTCGATGAAAAAAGCTGCCGGTGCAACCGGCCTGCTCTCACACCTTCTTTTTTCTGACAACTTCTCCGAACTTGTGGATCAACAGTGGCTTCTGGGGTCAGAGCTTTCCGATCGTCTTCTTCTCCTCAACGATGGTGATGTCCGAAGGAACCACCTGTTCGCTTCCAGAACCCGGCTTTTCAAAAGAAAGTCTTTGCTACAGGGCTGTGCAGCGTGGGCGGATTGAAGAGAGGCCAGAACTTAGCCTTTGACGGGAAGCTGTCCAGCTAACCACTGAAGCTGAGCATTCCGCAATGCTTGCCATGGCGACTCGATACTGGGGCGAAAGCCTGGGCTTCTTGATTGGAGGGTTTAGGGTTTAGGGTTGTGACAAGGGATTAGGGTGGGTTTGGGGTGACTTGACACAAGTCTAGGTTCCACTGGGCCTGAGTTGCAAACGGAGTGCCCTCTCGCCCTGAAACAAAGAGAAATCCTTAAGTCTGGCAGCAAGAGCGCAATATGGGGAATCAAGTTTCACAAGTCCACAAGGCTCGAATTTGAAACAACCCAAAACTTGTAGCTCATGGCAGGAGCACGACTATGAGCCCCCGTGACCCTTGGACATTCGGAAACAGCTGGCCCAAATTCGCTCTACACAATTCATCGAGTCTGGCAAGAGGCCTTTGCCAAGGAAAGCGCAGCACGGCTGAGATCAAAAAGCGCTGAGCCAGAACAGCAGAGACACCCTGAGTCGGAGCTTTACGGCATTCTATCTTCCTGTATATGCATACTAGACGGGCCCTTCATCACTGCACCATATACGTCTAGAAACCCAATCTATTGAACAGATGGGCGAGAGTGCAGGTCGACAGACCCTTGGTTTTAGGCAACGCACGTCTCATACTCTAGCGGCCAAAAAGTGCGTCGGTCCCCGAATCTTCCTATCGCATCGTTTAACACACCATTTCTTCGAACATTGAGGTATGATTGGGAAGCGGATTAATGCAGCGGTGATGTCCCTAACAAGCTGCCTCAACTACAACTCTTCAGCAACCCACAATCCAGATAAGAGGGTCCTCACGAACAACAACGGCAAAATCTCCAGCGTGGAAGGGCACCCGCCATAGGGTGTTGTTGCCCGAGGCGTCGCCTGGAGACTGGTGAAGCGATGTCTTGGCATGCAGTCCAGTCTGGTTTCTATTGAAGCTGCAGCGCATCGGCCAATACGATGTTGGATGGACACTTCTCTCAGTTGCGGCACCATAACTACAGCAACAATGACTGAATGAAATAGTGGTGAACATATAACATATCCTAACCTGGCAACATCTCTCACCCTGCATGGGCGTTCAGGCTTCAGGCCTCACCTATGGCAAGCGCCTGAGCTCTTGATTTCGAACCCACCCATGTGCTAGGACGTGGAAGCGCTGACCCCATGTGCTATGAGGGCTTTTTCCAGTTCAGTAGGATTCCCTGAGAAGGCACCCAAAAGGAAGCCTAATTACTGATTCCAATATACAACACTTACACAACACCCCCCTTGGCTGTCGAACCAAAACCTGATTGGTCTGAAGGATTTCTGCAGGTCAAGCTTGGGTTCCCCGGCCCGCGCAGAGAAAGACGGAGACGGTCCGCCCGCACCCGCCACGCTGAAGGGAGACCGGAAGGCGCCTAAAGATCCCAATGCCAAACGCCAGAGAGTGATGGGCATGATGGGGCTTTCATGACGAATTAAGATCTCACATGCCTGTGCTGGATGAACATGATCGGAAAGCCGGATGCGAGGGCTGTTGAAGATCTACTTTAAAAAACACAACTTTTCTGCACAATCGGTAACTTGCTACTACTGCTGGCGCAGTGCTGGTGAGCAATTGCAGACTGTTGTGGACAACACAAGGACAGGCTGCAGCAAGCACTACACGGACGCAGCACATGCTGCACAACAACACATGATCTTCATGCTTCGCATTCCATGTGCTACCTTCGAAGCATGAGCACAGGTGCGGACCTTCTCCCAGATCACCCGGGCTGTCTGGCGACACCTGTGGTGGTCACACAGCAATGTAGTCAATGTACGTACTGCTACGGCTGGAGAGGCTGCAGAGTAGAGTCGACAGAGTAGAGTCGAAAGCACGATCGAGTCTGAGTCGCGTTTCAGTGAGCCTGAGTTGACGAATCAGCTGCTAAGCTGCTGCAAGCAGCTTGCATGCCACAATCACCAATCTAGTCTTGTCTCAGAGACGTCGGAGAGAACTGTTTGCAAATGTGTCAAACCGCCCTCCTTCCCACTGGTCCTGATGTCAGATCAGACCGTTTGAGATAACAGGCCCCATCACAAGCACTTGCGGACTCTGCCTGGGGAGTCCCCATGTTGGCGTATGTGCCTGGCCGAAACACCGAGCTTCACATTGCAAATCCGTCAGGAAATTTCCTCGCGAGGTCTGGCAGAAAGCTCAGCTACAGTGCACAGTTTTGCGAAACTGCTGTGTGGTCTACACGCATGGCCTGGGGACAAGCACGCAGCTTGCCTCCGGTTGTAGGGAACAGACCATCGATCATGGCCTGCCAGTGGAAGCAGTGTGCACGACAGCAATTGATGGCACAAAGCAAACCCAAGACGCAACATGAAGTTGAGAAAACACCTTTCTCCAGCCTGGTATTGTGCCAGCTTGCTCAACAATACAGAAAGGTTAAGCTGGTTAAGCCTCCGAGTGCACTTTGCGCTTCGTAATCTTCGTAGCTATCGTAACTTGAATCGAAGAAGAAACTTCACACAACTTGTAGGGCCTTGACTGAACAACCGTTTTACGGGGAAAAATACTCAACCCGACAGTCAATCAAATGCGCTGCAGGTCTTGGATGTCGCGTGTGTCGTACTTACTGGGGAAGGGGAACGTTACCCATTAAGAGTGCACATGTGCCTGGTGCAGCCATCAACACTTGCAAATCCGGCATCAAAGTGGGACGGACAGACCCACTGCCGAATTGCACTCAACCGCTGCACGCTTGCAGCTACACAAGCGCGCTAGTAGCCACCGCAAGACCGTGACGCTGAAGCCAGAATAAACCCCACAATATGCATGAACTGCTGTGTTGGTGGCCTCGTTCTCCTGTGGAGTTTCAGCCTTGGGAGCACCACAAGAAATCGCTTAATCTGTTTCAAAGAAGCCAAAGAACCCCAAAATCCCTGCATACGAAAAGTCTGCCCGAGCAAAGACTGGCTGATCCACGATTGCTGCCGTGAAATGCGAGCCAAATCAAATTCAAATATTTAAGTGGAAAATATTCTGAATACGCAACATAGTGATGATGTCAAGAATAAAAGAATCAACAATATGAATCATACTAATGAAACTGAGAAGACGATAAATACCAACAAGAGTAAACTTACTAAAATATTAGTACTGTGAAGCATATGAATGATAACAATGACTCATAGTCATCGGCATTCTCGAAGACTGTAAGCGGAAGTTCTGGGAGTTGCACGTTGTCTTCAAACTCATCCTCCTCCAGGTGCGGCTCCGGGGTGTTCACGGCGTAGTACTGGCGCAGCTTTTGGTCCAAAGAGTTTGTGTTCCTGTCAGTCCCTTCATCTGTGAACCATGCTGCGAAGTTTTTTCCTGCCCATGCATCCTTAGTGCAACCCGGCTGCAAGCCTCTGCTAGATGGTCTCCTATCCTTCCAATCCGGTTAGTAAGAGTTCAGACTCCAGAACCTGCACATTCCCCCTCGCTTGTTAGGCCTCACCGCTTTTGGACTTGTTCGGCAACACCTTAGGCACATCTGGAAAAGGAGGTGCGCTTGCCTCAACTACGATGTACCATATTGAAGAACGTCTAAACAATTCAATATACCATACTACCACGCATATGTATATACATGTAGACTATACTATATATTATCACTTTTTGTATATGTATACACCGATTATGCTATATTGTGCTACGATGATGATGTCCTAGGGTTCGGTGGCCGACATGCTGTGTCAATTCTGAAACTATGTCCGGAACCCTACTAGCTTGGAAGCATATGTGCGTGTGTGTGTGTGCACAAAGGCGCATATCCATGCATACATACATACATACATACATACATACATACATACATACCACACCACACCACGCCACGCCACGCCACGCCACGCCACACCATACATACCATCCATCCATCATCCATCCATCCATGCCTGCATGCATACATAGAGTGTTGTGCCATAGCTCGTGAGCGTACATGCTTTACTTCCGTGTGCTTCGGCCTTGAATGCTGTGTTCCATGCCACAGAGTTCTTCCAACTATAGCCGGCGCATAGATACAGGTGCAACTAGAGATGTCGTGGATTGAGATTGAGATTAAGACATAGAAGAGACATTGATAGATATATGGATGTAGAGATACTGGTATAGGTGTAGGAACAGGCAGAACAACTTCGCTGACAGGTCTTTAGGTCTGTTTAGATCTCATTCTGTAGCAACTGCCACTAACTACCTACAAATTCAAAGACATGCGTGAACCTTTTGCAGATCCAGCAAGCTCACAGGGCCAACCATGCTAGGATCCCGGCGACGGTGGCGTGGTCCAGGGAACAAAGGGATTGGTGGTTCATCTCTGGATCCTGAAACTCGGCTGTAATGTGGCGGTTTGGTGTTGCTGTTTGGAAAGGGGGGGAAGCTTGGCTCCCTCCTACTGATTTGAGCCGAAGCCCACTACAGATGTTGGGCTTGTAACCGCGTGTAGACAGTCTTCCCAAGGGCGCTCCGCAGTCTTCATGTCATCCATGTGGACGTCGAAGCTCCCAGTACCAATCTCAGCTTGGGGGGACTCTGCATGCAGAATTCATCAGATTTCCTTTACATGGTCGGACGTTTGTCAGGAGCTCTCCTTAAAGTGAGTGCCAAGGGACTGGGACCAGCTGGCCAAAGATGATGTTCTCGGACACCGACCGCATGTGGTCCGTCTGCAGAGCTTTGAAGTGTTGCACTTTGGCATTTTGGCACGCTGAAAAGGACCGAAACATGAACTGGCAGAAGCGCATTTTGGACTAACGCCTCTCATGAATGCTAGTCAGGTAGGCCGTAGCAAACGCACCTCGTGGTATATGGCTGCATCCATCAAGATCTCAACCTAGGCATGACAGGGCCCTTTATAGGAACGGAAAGCTTGCGAATCGCACAGGCTCCCCTCGCATCCGTGAGCCTGCAAGGCCACGACTAGGACGTGGCCTAATCTGAATGGGTTTACCGGGGTAAACCGTTGAAGAGCAAGTTCAAAACCGAGCTCCTGACAGTCTCTTCGAAGCTGCCTCAGACTCAACCGACTGTAAAACCGTCATCGTGCATCGTCCCATCGAATGTGACATTGACATCGGGCAGGTGATGGTGAACTACAGGCCTTGTTGTGACAGATTTCTACGCCTGGTAAGGTTCCCTGAACAAATAGAAGTTCTGTGACCATCTCCACTATTGTCAGGATTACCTTGGAATCAGGACGCTCAGGGCCGTTTTGCAAAATTAAGTCGACAAAGCATGGCTTGCGATGCGTGATAGAAAACAACGTCAGTCGCGAAAACGGGAGTCTCCGGAAACCAATGCCAGAGAAACGGTGGTGGGAGGCTTATATGGTCTCTCGGCCACCTCTGCCGCCCCCTGTTCCCTGTTACAAACCCTTCGCCACGGCATCGCGCGGATGTCGGGATTAGGATTGATGGCATTAAGACATTGTTGCGGCGGGTTCGTTACGGGGCAGAACAGGCCCTTCTGGCACGAAACTTTGTCGGGGGGGGGGGGGTGATCGCCGGGGACAGGCCCGGTTCTTCGCAGTTTGGCAGCCTTGGTAGGTGGAGTCCGTCTGCGGCAGCACGGCCTCCTTGTTCTCTCACGGCTTGAAGAGGACCAAATTGTCAGAAAAGGGCTTTTGCAAGATCCTCTTGGCCACACCCAAGGCGCTTCGCGATCATGAGCCACAGCAACAGCCGTCTCAGAATCCACCGATGCCCTGTGCAGATGCAGATATGGGCATAATTCTGGGCATGTGATCCGGGGCACTGGGCACAGCCTGCGATCTCGCGGGGGTCAAGTTTAGGCACACGTCATCGTCGAGCCAGCTTAGCCTTCCCCAACACACTTTTCCTCTGAGGGCCGGACACTTCATCAGCGGGCCCATGTTCGTGCGATTCACACCATGGCGTGTGATCGCCATGAGGTGCCTCAAATCTCGGCACAGGAGGGCAAAATATATGGCCATTCAAACAACACATGAGTCAAAATGCTTACTTTTGGTTCTCCAAACAAGGACCCTTCAGGAGTCCTAGATAGCCTTCTCCTTGGATCTCTGGACTCTGGGAATACGCACCCACGATTCGTCATGACGTCGCACATCGTGCCCAGGTGTCGGTAGTTGACCTTGTTGATGGTGGCTCACTTCTCTCACAGAACATGGCACACCCTTCTGAGTAGCCATGGGATGGGTTCTAGGGATAGCTGCTAAATACGTCGCGCAAGTTAATTACCCTGGAAGCCTTCGTTTCATGCCCACCTCCCACTGGAGTAGAAGAGGCGGTTAGGGTGATTGGGTCTGGCAGGCGATTGTGGGACGAAATGGATAAGCATGGAGCAGCATGGAGTCCGTTTCTGGCACTCCAAGGCGCCCGCGTAAGACCCATCGAAGGAGATCACCATTCGAACGTGGAAAAGCAACGCCTGGACCATTGCATTAAGAAAAGCGTATCCACAAGTCTCTGAACCCGCTCTTTTTAGGGCATAGGCCGAAGACAAAGAGAGCTTCCTGCCTTCCGTGTTGCCTCGATGCCCAGGACGTTGAGGATCTCAACGATGTCGTTGCTTTGCAGGCGCTTGAAGTCCACCTCTGTTGGATGTACAAAAAGAGTGCATACAAAACACAAACATACACCAACACAGGGCGTCCGGGGCAGAGGGCTTGAAGGTATCTTCATGCCGACATTGATTGATGTCACTGATCTCTTGTTGTGCCCCATGCACTCTCCACTCATGTGGCCTCTTCAAGCTGCATGACCTCTTCCATGTTGACCTGGCCACATGCACTCTGTTCACAGCTGCATCATTCTGAAACATTCTGTCTGACTGGTTCTCCTGGGCTATATCTTGGCAAAGGTGCTACTTTGGACCACTTTTCGACTACACGAGTTGTGTCTGACTCGTGTGCGATTCTCGAAAGATGAGGACCCTTTCACTCCTCCAGCACATGCTGGCAGCACTCCGTCCGTGTCGAGCACCCACTCCTGGGACCGCTCGAACTTTCCAGTCCGCTCGTCGTACCTCACACGGCAAAACCACCCCCCTCAACTCCCCCTCAACACCCCCCCCCCTACCCCCTCCTACCTCCTAAAAATGAAAGGAGGGGAAAAGTGTTGGGGTAACTCCCTACGGGCAGCTTCGAAGGCTTGGAAAGGTGGGGTATGGAGTCATGGTAGCAAAAACGCTTTCAGCACCTTCAAACCGCAGATCACGTTTGTCGATGTCACATCTGGCAACTAAGGCTTGGGGCTTAACACAATGCTGCTGTGCGGGAGAAGGCTGCAATGACACTTGAAGGATGTGCAGCTAGGGATCAACCTCAGACGAAAAAGCTGTGAGAGTTTTGCTTGGATTTCCTCTTCGGAACATGACTCATGACAAGTAGCCGCAGCCAATACGTGTATGCAATGTAAGATGAAGAGTGATGGAGAGGGCACTTGGTCACCTTGTCCTCACGCATGAAGACCTGGACCATGAAGATCCCATCCTCTACCCCATAGTGTCGTTGCTGCGATACAAGAATGGTGTTTAGGTTTTCCAACTGACTGCACAAGCTGCCTTCAACAAGGGGCCGTGGGAGCCCACACCGCAAGAGCCAGCACTGAACAGGTTATGTTGTGCTTGCCAGGATTGGCTGTCATGCTTCATACTCATTCAAAAGGCCCTTTCAAAAGTTCAGAGTTGAGTCTGCCCTGAACCCGCTTGTAGCGTTGTGGGTGAAGGGTCGCATCGATTCAGAGGGCCGCACTGAACGAAGGGGACTTGGACATTGGGCATGCCCTGCTCTACCGGACTCTACCAGCAAGACGACAAACTTAAAGCCCGAAGTGGCATGGAAAGTTCCCCCCCCCCAACCCCCACCCCCCAATAGCAAAGTGGACCTGGCGGGTGATATACTGGGGTTCAGCCTGTGGAAGACCTGTAAGGAGGGCCCCGGAATCGCCTTCTTGATGCCCTCGATGCCTTTCAAGGTCATCTCTTTCAGGATGTTTGACTCGATCGTCCTGAGACCCAGACAAATTCAGTAAGCTTGCGAGGGCTTTCGTTTACGCCGCAGCCGCGGCCGCAGCCGCAGCATGCATTGCTGCTTTATGCCCGGGCACCCTTCAACCCAAAACGCGCGGCCGATAAAATCAAATTCAAAGCAGGCAATAGTTCATGCCGGCAACCCAAAAAGATCCCCATCGACTTGCTCTCGAGAACACTCTGCCTCAGGAATTTGAAGTTCTTATCTTCGGTATCGTCCCGCGGGTCATAGGGCCCAGGTGCCTCGGTCACTGAAGCACAGCCTGAGACGTCCCTTGCAGGCTCTGTTCTGCCTCTGGATTGGACAGTTGTGTCAAAACGGTGACGCCTTGACGATAGGCCGAAACGCCGAATAAGTACTCCAGTTCACTGTTGGGCACGGGCCTTTACACACATTCACCACCTCTTACTGGTGCTGTGAAGAACAACTACATAAACACGATGTGGATTGTTGTATTGCGAGAACGGCCCTCCAACAGCTTCGGTGCTCCATGGTGCTCCGATGGCGCAGGAACAGGTCATGGCAAGCGTGACAAGCCTCAGCCTCAGGCAGCGCCCATCTGATCAACTTCCTGCCGGAAGCGACCCTAAGGAGCCTTGCATCCCCAAACCTCTCAAGCTCCCCAGGCTCCGCCCGGTTTAGGGTTTAGGGGGTGGGGGGGGGGGGGGGGGGTTAGGGGGGTTTAGGGGGGTTTAGGGGGGTTTAGGGGGGTTTAGGGGGGTTTAGGGGGGTTTAGGGGGGTTTAGGGGGGTTTAGGGGTTTAGGACGTCCTTCAGAAGCCGGATCCGCAGCACCAGCTCCTCAGCATTGTCATCCGTGAAGATGCCTCAGAAAGGACACCCAAGTCCCCCAAGTTCCCAATCAGAACAAGTCCATGTGCTGCCAGAATGCAGTCAAGGTCATTCTGGAAATCGCCCAGAATGCGCTCTCCCACCTCACACATGGCTTTCTCTCTCATTCCGGCACTGAGACTTGCAGTGACTTACAATTCAGACATGTCTAGTTCCTGGGACTCCAGAAAGAACGCTAACATGTTATGGCACGACCAAGTACTAGTTCTGCACCTCGCGCACCGTCAGCTTCTTGTCCGTCATGACCTGGTCGGATTTACGAATCAGGCGATGTATGATGATTTCGGAGAGCACTGCCAACGAGTCGTTTGTCTGAGGAGCAAACCTTGTTGCTGAGCTGGATGCGCAGCAGCCTTTGTCCACTGCGAATGATTCTGTGTGATGCTGTGTCGAAGTGCAACAAGGATGGTTCGAGGTAGCGGCCATGGCCCACAGCGAGCAGGGTTTTCATCCTCGTCTGGGAGCTCGTAGTACCTGGCAATCACGATCAACAACTGCATGGCTCCTCTGATAGTTTACAGAGCTCCTGCTACAAGCACCTTAAACGGCGGAAGTGCTGCCCGCTTGTGCAAAGCATAGTTGAACCTTCCCACCCATGCGCAAGCCCCAAGGGAGGGCACAGGGAGACCCACTCCTGATCCTCCTCAACCAACGTGTTCTCTGGATCAGGATCCCAGAAGATCTCGGACAGGGTTACCAGGGGTGCTGGCTTGTCGGCTGAGACTTGATGAGGGTTTCGGGTTCAGGGTTTGCATGTCAGCTCTGTTTTTTGGGCGCCGTATCCAGTAGCAAGAGTACTCCAAGCAAGCCAGCTTGTCGACTGCCCCTGCATTCGGCAATCTCAAAATTTCTTCAACGCCCGGATTGCCTGGGTGAAGGAGGTCACCTTCTCAAGGGTCGTGTGCTCGAGCATGCTCTGCACATCCTCTGGGCTCAGAGGCTGGCATTACCAGTGGACAAGACACTTGTCTAGTTCATGGAGAAGACAAGAATACGTCAAAGAGGCGATTCAAGACTGAAAGAAGTGCAACCAGGAACTGATGGAACAGGATTCTTGGACGTCTCCAACGCGCGGTTTGACTATTGATGAGCCGCATGACAACCCACATGGGTCCTTGGCGCGCTCCTGGTTCTGACCCAGGTCCCCGCTCAGGTATACAGCCTCGTGGGCGTCTTTGTAGCGGAGGACAGCACGGTCTTGAGAGATGAGTTGGCTACGGTGGGTGAAAAAGCTCGCCGCTCAGTGGTGGCTCCAGTCACAGGTCGCGGCCAGAGGCTCCAAAAGGCCGAGAGCGCGCCGTGCGTGCAATGAGTTTGAGTCCCGGGCCAGGGAAGGCGTCTTCACCTTCTTCGCCACATTGATCAGCTCCTGGCTCGAGCTTGACTTGTGAAAAACATTGAAAAACTCCAGGGAACACCCTGACAGGCCGGCAGTGGCCACTTAGAATCAGAAGTGCCAGCCCTACCAGTACATGCAAGACCTCAGGCGCACGAAACAGAGAGCAGCACCCAATCGTCATGACAACAAAACCCAGTCGCAGCCGACCTTCAAGCGGGGCACCCCGAGTGTGACGTTCTTGGCACCAACCCCGGCGAAGTGGAAGGTGTTCTGCCAGGATGCTTCGAGTCAGTGAGGGTACAGAGTCGATGTTAGCTTGATTTTGGAGGTTTCGAGTTCAACTTTACGGTTTGTTCAGGAACGGCCACCTGAAACTGATGAGACATGATGAGGATCTGGACATTGGGTCCGTCAGTCGTGCGTTCTTCCCGTCATCGTTCTGCTGCTTAGAAAAGTGTCCGGTCTCTGTCTGTTTGGGACGATCAAATCATGTTCTTGCTGGGTCCAGAGCTGAAAAGCAAACAGATGGTAGAAGCATTTCATGCGAAGGGGGCGTACCAGTGTCATCTGCGTCGCGGGCTCACCGACGCCTGAGGAAGAGACTTGAAGAAACACTCTAGCACTGAACAATCTTGTTGTTGATTCGAGGTTGTTCCCACAGACACACAAGAGTTTCAGCATAGTCTATCCTGCTCAGCGCTCCGGAGCTTATCTTGGATCCGCAACCTTTGGCAGAACTCGATGTGGCATTAGAACCCGGCGAGCGATTTGCCACTTCCGCAAACATTACAGAGCGTTGTTGGACATTGCTGGGAAAAGCTAGCTGCCGTCGAATCCAGAATCCAAAATGGGCGACAGACAGGCACACTGTGTGGACCGTTCTTTGGGCCACATGCTCAGTTTGACCCCAGGTAAGGTGCAAACTCTGCGCTGCCAACGTCCCAATCACTTCACCTGGCGTGACGCAGGATGCTTGTGTCCAAGCAAGCCCTGAAGAATGGTCTTCCCATGGAGCTAGCTGTATTACCTTCTCATTGAACCGAGCAAGGCAAGGCCGGGTTGCAAACCTAACGAGTCATGACCTTCATGGCACGACTCATCCCCCTTTCTGTATTGCTGTCTTGTCCTCTCGACGATGCTTCCGCAAGAACCGATGACTCAGGCCAAGCAAAAGGAGCGGCTGGCCCATGCAGGCAGCGGCTTCTGTGACACTATCGCTGGGAGAGCACCCTATATATCTATACACACATATGTATTGATGTACTTATATATAAGCTGGTAAAACCGTAGACCTGACCTTTTGAGCTGGGGCAGCTAGTGTGGAAGCTAGCGAACTCGATGTGAAAGTAAGGAGATTGTCAATGCATTCCCAACAAAGTTGACACCTGAGTCTGCCAACCAGGTGGCAGCTCTCCTGTACAAATATATGGTACACACTGTGACCGTAAAGGACGCATCTGGGAGTAGAGAACCTCAGGCCTGAAGGGTTCGGAATGCACATCTGCACAGCCCAGGATGTACAAGTGTCAGCCTGCATACCGTCTATGTCCATCGATCTAGTGGATACCTGGCAATATTCGGCGATACTTTCCCCCCCACTCCCTTCCCCCCGATGCCCCCCCCCCAGGGTGTGGTCCAGTGGGGGGGGCCCAAAGCCCCCAAGCCCTAAGCCCAAACCCTACGTAAAACCCCAAACCTTAAAGGCCTATAAGCCCTGAAGCCCCAAGCCCTGACTGAAACCTTAATCCGAAAACCCGAAAGCCCTCCCAGCCCCAAAACACCAGAGCCCTAAACCAGAAGCCCTGAACCCTAACCCCACAGGCGGGGATCAAACAGATCATGACCCTAACACCCTAAAGCCTAAACCCTGATACTTTAACACTTAGACTTCAAAAACTTAAGCTTGAAAAAGCCAAGCCCTAAACCCCTAAATCCCTAGATCCGTATGCCCAACCCTAAAACCCCCCATGCACGCCGGCGGGGAGAAGGGGGGGCGCGAGCGCGTGGCCGTGTATTGTACTTCCCCCCCCCCCCCCCCGGGACGTGGGTTTAGGGATATCTATGTAGGACAGGGAGGTATGATTCAGAGCCTTGTTCAGAAATTACTTGGGGACAAGAGCCGTGTCTCATCCCGCAGCAAGCTTGTAGCAGTTGAGCTTCCCAAGAAGTGCTTCAAACATAGGTGCTGCATATGGAAACCTGAAGCGACTGGCTACTGTACAGCACTGGCTGCAAGTCCCAGTCGCCTCAGGTTTCGGCGAGCCCTTGAACGACATGAAACTTGTCCAAGTACAGGAGTCACCAATCTTTGGCAGATGTCCAGCCCTCTTGAACCATATTGGGTCAAATTGGGTTGCTAAGCCCTAGACTTCCTGGGACTGCGATCATTTTCCTAAACACCATCAGAGCCTTCTAAGGTTGGGTACCATACAACTAGGAGTGACACATTGACAAGAGTTAATTAAGGCCCTGGAATTCTCTAGTGACATCGATGTGCAATCCGGCTGACATAGTCTGGCTAACACAGAATTTCAGACAAGTCACATTTGGGGGGGGGGGGGGGGGGTGGGGATCTCGTTCGCTGCTAAACTCCGAGGGCTGGACAAAGCAGCCGATTGACGACCCAACAAAGGCTTCTTTCAACAAGCTGGATTTCCGGATCTCATGCTTCAGGCATTCAACAGCCCCTACCTCCACAAAACGATTGGGTTCATACTGCGGGCGGACTCTTCGGACTTGTACAAAGACTACGTTGTAAACACAAATCAATCCCAAAGGCCCTCAACTCAAACGAGTGCAGAGAATGCAACATGCCAGCCACGCGCTACGATGATTACAGCACAAGTCGGGTTGCCAGAAGCCTCTATCTTACAGGCACTCCTGAAACTGTGTTGCTCCGAGCCACGTCAACACACATCTCATGGTCCCTCATGGACATGCCCAAACCCAGGATCAGCGCTGGGAAGTGACGGGACGTGTTCGCTCGGCGCAATGGAGCCCCATCCAAGATTTGGCCGGGTGCCAATTTCATCAGGGGTGCCCGTACTGAATTCGTGAAAGGATCCGAGCTCCTCGGAATACTAAATGACCGATACAAGCCTTTTGCATGGTTATTGCCAACAGGGGGCGCGAGCCTTCGACACAAAACTGGCCAAAGTGGGCAAATGGTTGGTCATGGTGCTATGTAGGACTGGTATGCATGGTGTCGCACATGATGACGAAGCTATTTCACCCAGTTGTCGCATGTTCAAGCAGCTGAGTTCCTTATCAGGGGCTGATCTTACAAGACAGGACCTTAAACATTGTAAACCCTGGATCCCTACACATGTCGCACGTCTGCTCTACTCCACTACGAGGCATCTCCATCCTTCATGTTTTGGTGCTCGGAGCCTTCGCACCTTACACTCGCAGTGTTTTCGGGGGGCACTCTGCAGCGCCTTTAAAGGGGAGGGCTGTGTGCCTTGCCAGTTGGCTCCCTTGCGGCTGTAGCTGTCGCTTGTCCCTAGTCGCCACGTCCTGCAGCGGCGAACTTCTGCTGTCACCTGAGCTTCATCAACCCCGCTTTTGCCTCGCGGCTCTCATCATCTCTATCCCTGAAGCTGCAGCCGAGACGCTGAGACCCTGTCCTCAGGCCATCTGGATAGGCTTCGACACGCGCCAGACCTTTCGCAGTGGAGTTTCGGTGCCGTGAACCCTTCGGCCATCCCTGCACCCTGTAAACCCCATTAAACCCCGTAAATCCTAAAGCCCTCTCCGGAACCCCGACATTTCGGAGCGGCCTTGTGCATTTGCCACTCATCGTGGACCTGGCAGGGAGTCTCTATAGTCTCGCTAGCCATGGCTGCCTGGCTCTTAGCTCTGATACCAAACTTCAGCTGGCTTAGGGCCGTGTAGGATTTAGAGCCTTATACCGCCGGAGGTGCAACAGTGCCGTCAGCACATGTAAAAACTTGCGGGCGCCTCTTTGCGCCATGCAAGAGGCCACAGCAGGTACGTCGCCTCGGCTTGAAGAAACAGCTGCAGGATCAGACTGCGACTACAAACACATTGGCTTCAGATGATTTGGATATCAATATAAGGTTGGGTGGAAAACTCGTGTAGCACAGGAAGAGCCTGCACATAGCTGTGACAACAGCAGTATATGTAAACACATATCTTCATATATATATATATATATATCTAGTTCGGACGCGCGGCTGCCTGGTGCACAATTGCTCATCTGTCGATTCTGTCAGGAACATCCGGAATATCCCCAATCACATGCCCTCATTGTGAAAAGGATGGCCTGAACGCCTGCATACTGACTGCTCTCAAACTACGGCATTCGAAATAACCCCGATTAGGATTGTAGATGTGGGTGTGACTTATCAGTCTTTCAGGCCAGAGCACGAAGGACAGATATTCTGCGGTGGCGACAAGGGCCTGAGGGATCTGGTAATTGTTGCTGATGAACTGCCTCGGCTCAAGCTGCTGCGTCACACCGCCCTGAGTTCTAGTCAGCACTCCGTTTGAACCCTTCTACTGCGACCTGCGGTATGTGCAACCAGGGCGCCGCTTCAGAAGGAGCAGTACCTTGGCCAACCAGTCGCTTGGTGTACACATGCTCGCCTGGCTCAGCTGCTTACGCTCAGGGTTCTTGTTCTGGCAGAGGAAAACCAATATGCGGGCGCGGTGCTTTCAGATACTAGAAAAAATGGTGCCATTGTCTTGCAGTCATCGCATGCCAGAGGAGCCTGTTGATGCTTCTAATTCTAATTACAGGGCCATCGTGGCCTGCGCCCATGAAAGCGACAAGAGCGAACTCAAAAGCGACTGCTTTCAAGGTGCAACGAAGCCGATAAGGACGGCATCGCTGAGAAGCGTGGACAGACAAAGGCACCTAGCAATGCTCTGCCCAGCGGAACGCTTGCCGAAAAGCTATTGTACTTCTAGAACCTGCCTTTTCGCCAAACTAGATCTGAGGACCTTGGTACAACCTAGGAGCGAACGAAATCCGTCAAAGGCAAAGCACCAAAAGGATAAATCCCGACAAGCACACCCCCCCCCCCCCTCACCAGAAGTCAGGGGCGCAAAATTGGGTGCAGACGAAGTTGAGAGGCATAAGGAGGTACCCCCAGAAGGGATCCGATATCTTCTTCCCCTATATAACCCCTATAACCATGTGTATATATATATATACATATATCTCACTTTGTTCAGGGATCATGGTGCCTCCTTCCGGCTGTGAAAGGCGCGCTGCCCGCTGCAAGGACGGTCATGGCGAAAACCTCATGCTTCGTCGGAAAGCAAGGCGGTACGCGGTGCAGTTCCTGGTGCTTCCATGCAGATGTGGCGAGACATCAGAGCTGGGGCAGCAAGAACATGAATCGAAGGTAGAGCGAACGGCAATATCTTCATTGCCGGCGAGGCGAGCACAGCATGACATCGCTTCGACCTCCCCTTTCTGTCGGACTTTCATTCTGTCAGCCTCCTCTTACAGCAACGTCATTACAAGGAAATGAAACCCGGGAGGAGAAACGACCAAGACAGTTGAATTGGCACATTCAAAGCCATGGAACCATAAGGCACATCGCCAGCACTAGCGATGGAGTGGAGCCTTGAAGCATGGCCGCGATGAAGCCAAACCTTGGGTCCATGGGTAGCTGTTGGGCGGAAGTAGCGTCACAAGTAGTGCTAAACACATGGGAGCACTCATCATGGCATCGGGCAGCACACTCGCCCTGCCCTTGACCAAGCCAAGCACGGCTTTTGCTCTCACTGGCGTTTGCTTCTGACAAGCGTTGCTTCTCCTGCATCTTTCTTGTCACCGCTTGCATTCGCTATTGTGCACTCTTGGCACCTGCATGCCCATGCTTCCAATGCGCAGTGCTGTTTTGGCCGCTCTCTCGGAGCTTGTTCTGGAACCTATCTGAGACTTGCGGCTTGAACGGCTTGAAGCTCATTTCGGGGTTTAG